CACTACTGGGCATATACCCTAAGAATCTCGAGTCACCTATTCAAAAGAACTTATGCACCCCTATGTTTATAGCAGCACTATTTACAACAGCCAAGTGCTGGAAATAGCCCAAGTGTCCATCAGTAAATGACTGGATCAAAAAACTAGTACATTTTATATGACAGAATACTACGCAGCAGAAATAAATAAGGAAGTCCTACCTTGTGCAACACTGTGGAAGGAACTGGAGAACATTATGCTAAGTGAAATAAGCCAGTTGGGGAAAGACAAACACCATATGATCTCACCTATAAGAAGAATCTAACGAACAAAATAAACTAATGAACAAAATAGAACCGCAGGCATGGAAACATGGAACTGACAGTGACCAGAGGGCAGGGGAGAGGGGGATAATGGTAGAAAGAAAGGGAAGGGACTAGTCAAAGAACATGTATAAATAACCCATGGATATGGACAGTGTGTGGGAACTGACTATGGGAGCAGGGAGCCTGGGGGGTGGGGGGGTAGGGCAGAAGTGGGCAAAGGGGGGAAAATTGGGACAACTGTAATAGAACAATAAAAAAAGTTCAATTACAGTTTACATTCAATATTATTCTGCATTAGTTTCAGATATATCACAATGTAATTTTTAAGGTTCCTCAACTGAGCTGGATAACTCCAGGAAAGCCAATAGTAAGAAGCAAGCCATCTTTATTTGAAAGAGTAAGGGAAAAGAGAAGCTCCTTCACTGTATCTGGCAGCAGTCACATTTGAGAGCCAAACAAGGTTACAGATTTCCTAAAACTGCCCAGGTGTCAGGGCCTTCCTTACCATGCTTCCTCAGATTTGCTCTGTACTGATATAAAGCAGTCCTAGGCAAAGGTGACCAGAAAACAGACAGAAGAATCCGTCAGACTGATCTCCACAGCAGTGATGACATCACCAAACAGAGAGCTGTAGGGGAGGCTTCAGGTCCCCTGCATTAAGTACTGCATCTTCAGGCAAATGAACAAGGTCAATTCTGTGTATCACCACTGTAATCAACACCCAAGCTCTCTTCATTCTCCAAAGAGATATTTTGCAAGTAGCTATCCCTAAATTTGATTTTGAAATCACAGCCTGGAGTACTAAAATTGAAACTAATGAGGAAAAACTGCTAAAAAGCCTGTTCTGATTTCACCCACCACATCACTTTTACAACAATCACCATTAAGAAGTTTTAAAACATAAATGCAAACTGTTTTTCTGTATTTAACACATATGTGGGAAGAAAAAAAGCAGAAAACAGAGGGAAGACATGATGATAAATAACTACAAAATAAAGACACATGGCAGAATGCTGCTGCAGCAAACTGCAGACAGCATAGAGATCTATTAGATTGCATTAATAGGTACATGTTTGGTAACACACAAGAATGAATGCCCGATAATACAATGGCAATGTTACAGGGGAGATAAGAGTCAGTAGAAAGTCAGTAGCTGCAAAATGGAAGGCAGCAGTTAATTTCTAGAGCTTCAGTCTCCTTCAGAGAATGACATCAGTACCAAGGGGAACCACTCTTTAGTCTTACTAGGAGGACTCCTCTCCTTTCTTACCTGGAAGGCCTTGCCTATAACTCCCAGCCCAGTATCTGGTTGACGCTGAATTACACAGATGGAGCATTAGACGATTTATCACAGGAGTAACGGTAAATATATCAAAGTTCAGAGAGGAACAGTACGTAAGATGACTGTCACACATGTGTGGTCTGGGGTCTGGGTTTGCTACATCTTTTCACAAAAATGCTAATGTCAATGTAAGGGCAAAAATGTTACTAGTACACAGCTCTTTGAAGATGTATTCAAAGCTAATCAAATAACCACAATCTTTTTGCTTCACTTGGCTGTGAGGTCAGGAATTGAATTCCAAGACACACTTTACTATAAAGCAATATTCTTTGATTATAAGATGTGGGGGCAAAAATAAAAACACTGTCCCAAGTGACTGCTAACAATAACCTAAAGGGATATACTAAAAAAGCTATTTTTTTAGTGCCTTCTCCTACATTCCACCCTTCTGTTCATTTACTCGAGCAGTTTACCACAACTGAAAATTCAGATCCCCTTTTAAAGAAGATGAAGCCAGAACAGTAGTGGGAAATGGGTGACATAGGTTTTATCTAGGATGACAGAGGTACTATGATTGGTACGCACTACTTTAAAACTTTCTCCTTCAGCTGAAGAAAAAAATCCAGCATGCCAAATGTGCCTTTGTTCAAGGAACACTGCAAAAGCTAGCATCTGCAGTGTTTAATGGTAGGGCATGAACTAAAATAATACCTCCTGTGTCAACAAGAAAATGCCATCAGAGCAGGAGAAACAAGTTTATTGTTGAAGGTTATCCTTCCAAAGACATGAGCAATTAGAAACTCTAATAATCTCTTCCATGATCTCTTCAAGAGCAAACCATGTAAATGTTGTTAAAATTAAAAAAGCCTTTGAAGTTAGCCAAAGCACCAGACTGGATTACTAGGGATGCACTTGCAGAGACAAGAAACAGTTCTTCTTTCCAAAAGACTCAAATTCTTCCACCAAGCCATTCCACAACAGAATGCTTGGCCATGATCACTCACCATTTTTAAATTTCTTGTGGACAGGAAAAATGCCTGTCTCTATCTAGCAATGCCTGACACATGGTGGATACTGGAAACGTTTGATGAATAAATGAAAAGGTACTTGTATTACTCTCTCCTACACTTACATATTACTTAAGGTTACCATATGTACCACTCACATATAGGGGGAGCCGGTGGCAAAAAAAAAAACCCCAAACAGAATTATCTTCTGGAGGGCAGGTCCCTTGTAGTACAGGCATCCCCTGCTAGGTTAATGTCCTCGGAACCCATCTGTATCAGTGTTCCAGCTGGTGGTGCTATGAGAGGCTACATTCGGCTTCAGTGAATTTATTTTTTAAAGGCTCAACATGTTTGCCCATTTCATGATGGGTGATTTACAAGTACACCTGCCCACACCACACTGAGTGCTCAGCAGCTTTTGAACAAAAAGCAGCAAGACTCTCATGCCATACCCTCCTTATTCACCCAATCTCACCCAGAGCTGGTTTTTTGTTTGTTTTCTTTCTCCAATGAGAAAAGAGTCCTCAAAGGGAAATGTTTTGCCAATGTGGAAGAAGTGAAAAAAAAAGGAAAGAAAAAAACCAGCAGAAGCACTAAAAGGCATCAAAATTGACGAGTTCAAAAATTGTTTTGAGCAGCAGAAAAAATGTTTCGATAGGTGTACTGATTCAAGTGGAGAGTACTTTGAAAGTGACTGAAGTTCAAACTTGTAAGAATACATAATTTTTTATAAATTCTGGTTTTTTGGGGTCCCCCCCTCATAAATACATTAGGCTGGTTAGCAAAGTTAAAAAAAAATTAGAATACAATAGGGTTGTGAATACTAAGCTCGAGCTTGGACAGAATCTTCAAAAGTACTTACAACTTACTTTCCAGTTCTTAGACTCAAATCTGAACAAACTCTCCCAAGTCTGAAAAGAGAAACACACTAATAGGAGGCTATTATTCCACAGATGAGAAGTCATAAGGCCAATAAGCTGCTTAAGTCACAAGGAAAAGACAAGAGCCTATTCTTTTGGAAACCAAAGAGAGGATATAGTATTTTCAACAGGAACAACCAATCGCTGGGCATTAGGTACTAAGATTTGAGGAAAGGATGACATGGCAGGATTGCCAGGCCTACCTCATTTGACGAAAGATTTAGGTAACATAATCTTGAAACCTCAATTAAGTAATTTGCTAGGATTCTAAAGCTCCTAATTTATTAGCATTACAATACAAAAACGTATTAAAAGTCACAACCGAAACGGAACATCTTAATTTCTTTAAGGTAGAACTAATGTTACCAATGGAGGTGTTCCAAAGACATCACTAGGGGAAAAAAGGAGGCAGAGAGGGCAAGAGGCAGATTCCAGGTGCCAAAAGATAAGTCACCATCCTCAGGGGTATCTGAAAGCATTACTGCCCACAAACTAAGTATAGTGCTCTGGAATCTGACTACCTGGGCTTGAATCTCTGCTCCGTAACTTATTAGCTGTGTGACCTTAGACAAATTACTTAACCTCTGTTTTGATTTCCCTATCTATAAATGAGCACAACAATAGTACTTCGTTACTGTTGTTCTGAGAATTAACTATAATCTGGGCAAAAGTCTTGTAACGTTGCCCAGCACACTAAGTGCTCAAGTGTTTGCCATTATTCTTCTCAATTTTCCCCCTTTTAGGAACCACTATGCGGTAAGAGGCCCCCGACACGGGTAGTATTCAAAGACTTCTACAACCAACCACAATCTTTCCCCCAGTAAGTTTGAAAACTTTCAGTATTTACCATAACATGTTTACGATACAAAGCTCCCTGCCTCCCAGAGCCAGAGGCGTGTCACACGTATACGAATGTACGAGGCCAGTCCCGTGCCTGTGACCTGACTCACCGCCTTGATTCAGTTGCTGTCAGGGAACTTCACGCACTAAAGGGTCAGGTTTTTCAAAAGAACAGACAAATGGGAACCTGAATCAGACCCGGGCGATTTTACCAAACGCCCGCGAGAATGGTGGCGCCTGGGTTCCCCCAACACAGCCGCTGAGGATCGGCTCCGACACCCTCCGCCTTAATGCTCCAAGGAAAGCAGCCGGCTAGCGCGTCCCGCCGCAAGCACAGGGATCCCAGTGCTCTGCAACCACCCAAGTCAGGAAACCTGCCCGGGCCTCCAGTCTTGACGCCACCCGCAAATAAAGCGTCGGTGACCACCGGCCCCAGGTCGGCAACGGGGCCGAGGTCACAGCCGGCGACCTCTGAACTCTCCCAGGCCGGGCCTGCTACTGGGCCCTGAGCGACAGGCCTTTCCCTGAGAGGCCCCTGCTGGACCCAGAGCCTGCCCAAGAAGGGGATGACGCGAGGCCTTGGCGACAGAGGAGCTGAAGAGGGGGATGGGACCAGGCAGCCGGCCGGGCTGGGCCCGCTGCTTACCTCGGCCGCTCCGCTGGGGGCACCGGGCCGGGCGGGTCACGAGATCTCCTGCGAAAAAGCAGACGCAAGGGAAGAGAGGGAGAGAGAAGTCCAAGCTCCGATTTCAACGATCCCTTCAGCGTTCTCTAAGACTCCAGCACCAGTGGGGCCGCCGCCTCGGGCTTTATGGCCAAGACTCCGGCTCCGCTCCCACTTCCGCCACCGCCACCGCCCCGAGCGGAAGTATCTGTCACGAGGAGCTCGACGTCAAGCGTGCGAGGGAGGTGCCCCACTTCAACCCTGCGTCACGTTCGGGTACCCTCAGGCCAGGGTTTGGATCACGTGGGGTAAACATGTCTGCCCTTTATGGTTGTCGCCATCTTTGAGGGTCCCGCAAGAAGGACGGCGCCATGTTGAACCCAGGACCCGAGGTTTCTAAGCCATCCCCCGGAATAACGAATGTGGGCGGAAGGGGGAGCCGGAGAGAAGACTAGGGTAAACTGGACCGTCCCTTGGTGTCTTTCTCCCAAAAGCGCTGATCAATCAACCGAGTAGTTATATGCCCTGAGCTATTCAAGATCAACAAAGTTTGCTCTAGCAACGGGCTTTCCCTGGGAGAAATCTCTTGAGTAGTGGGAAACAAGACAGTAGTTACATTATAAACTTACAGTCGGCAAAGAAAGGGCATCCATATTTCGTGAGCACCAACTGTCAACCGCATTACACTTGTGGATAGTTTCTATTAGTCCTTACTGTAACAACTTGAAAGATGTTCACCATTTTGCAAATGGAAAACTGAAATCCATCACAGGTCCTAACCTGTGACCTAGTTCACACAGTAAGTGGCAGTGCCGGGATTTAAATCAAATATATTTGATGCCAACGTGTGTGGTCTTTCTAATAAACTGGAAATGGCTGCACTGGTGGTAGCAGAGTAATACACAGAAGTGAATTAGACATTAGCAGAACAATTTGTCTGGCAGAAGAGTGAGGATTTATAAAAACGTTAATTCATAATTTGTGATCCAATAATCAGATTTTTACAACTTCAGCTCTGAAGCTCCATGCAGAGCCTAACTAAGCCCTTTTGGCCTCTGAAATGGCCTGCAGAGCCAGAAGCACCTCTCTATTGACTGTACTATTTGATAAACTGTACTCCTTGCATTGTTGTAAAATGATACTCCCTGTAGCATTGAGATGTAAGAACATCCAAACCTGGAGAGAATTTTCATGAATTATTTGAGCTAACCTAACAACATAGGCCAGGGAGCTAGATGTCAAAGGCTCTGGAAAACAGCAGTTTTGCAGGGGGTTTTTTATGCATTTGAAATTATGGAGAAGACAAAGGAAGATTGGAAAAAGCAAGGGGAAGATTGGATTACAGGATAGTTAAGAAGATTATGTGCTCTCTTTAGGATTAGGACCCCTTTGAGGAGTATTACTTCTGGCATTTCAAAACTGTGTTAACCTAGATGCACAAGAAAAATGGACAGGGCTGGCTTAAAACTTTGCACTCAAGAAGTTATAGGCCTGTTGCATGACCACCCACCATGATCTACCTAGTTAGGAATTTATGATCAGTCATCCTCTGAGGTACTTTCCATAGAACTCCTTGTTTTGTCCATATTACGGTTATGTGATCAAAGCAGCTTTATTTTTCCACAGGCCTGGGCTGAAACTAGTACTTCATAAATGCTTAATCATATATTGCCCATGGTTCTCACATCGCAACCCAACTTGCCACAACACTGCATCAGCCATCCACTGAAAGTCCAATTGCCCCCACCAATCAAAAAACAAATGATGGAAACTTTATGATCTTGTTTCCCCTAGCAACTGTTCGCTTTGATCAGCAGTTTCTTGCAAATTTTACCTTTATAAACCCTGCCATATCACCTCTATTTTGGAACATATTCTTTGTTCCTACTTAGGACTACAATTTGCAAGCTATTATATGAATAAACTCTTTCTAAATTTATTTATTTATTCTAAAGTATCTCCAGCCCTGGCTGGTGTGGCTCAGTGGAACTGAGCGCCGGCCTGAGAACCAAAGGGTCACTGGTTCAATTCCCAGTCAGAGCACATGCCTGGGTTGCAGGCCAGGTCTCTAGTTGGGGGCATGGGAGAGGCAACAGATTGCACATCTATATGTCTCTGCCTCTCTTTCTCCTCCCTTCCCCTCTCTCTAAAAATAAATAAATAAAATATTTTTTTTAAAAGTATCTTTGGATATTTGTTTACATTAATGGCAATGAAGATGGAGATTATGGAACTCACTGTGTCAGGCACACGCACAGCCCTTTGAGCTGAAGTTGCCATACTTTACCGTTGGAAGGCATGCATCGGTGTGTCCTCTCAAATCCTCGATCTCCCACACTTTTCGTAGAGGTCTGAGAGTTTTATTCTGACAGTTTTATTCTTAAGGGAGGGACCCCCCTCTATAAGGTTTTCAGGTAAGGAAGCCTCCACAAGAGATCATAAAAATTAGATTTACCAATAAAATCTTGGGCAAAATCTTTCTCAAGATACACAGGAAGGGACACCTTCACATGATAAATATTTTCAGTTCTAAAATGACCTCTGAAGCCACTATCCAGTCCCCCTACAAGGTATATGTTCAATAATGTGTGGTCCCAACAGTTACAATTGGCACAGCCTCGGGACAAGAATTACATGGGACAGTTTATAACTTTTTTTTGCCAAAATGGATGCCTTCAAAATTTCCAAATTTACTTATTTGAAATCTCAACTCAAATGCCAAGGTTTTCAAACCTGCCAAAAAAAAATGGGAGACAGTCTTTAATTGGTATTTTGAGCCTCAAAAAGAGACCAGGGAAAACCATTAGCTCCCTCCAAGAAAATAATTCTAAGCTTAATAAATGCCTCCAGAAGTTAAAAGATAAGACTGGTGCTAGTGACCCTCTTCCTTTAGTTTATTTTTAAAGTTTCTTTTTAAAATTTATCTATTGATTTATGAGAAAGAGAAACATCAATTTGTTTTTCCATTTATTTATGCATTCATTGGTTGCTTCTTGTATGTGCCCTGATCAGAGATCAAACCTGCAACCTTAGTGTATCAAGATGATACTCTAACCAATGGAGAGTCCCAGACAGTGCCACTGCTCCCTTAGTTTCAAATTCCCTGGAACCCTCTTATTTTCAAAGCCCTTCAGACCTTCCTCCAGGTTCCTGCATTCCCTTTTCTATCCCTCCTTATGAACAGCTCTGCAGGGGTTTCCCTGGTGGATGAATACTCATTCAATGGTGTGGGTTTTTGTTTCCTTTTCTTGCCTTTGTCTGTTATGTTGTCATTAAAGAGAGAGAGAGAGGACTTCCGGTCAAGAGGGAGGCATAGGTAGAAATTCTTTGTCTCCTCATTCAACCATAGGAAGAATTACAACTAGATATCAAAACAAATAACACCCAGAATCATTGGAAAATTGACCTGTATGGAAGTCCAACAACCAAGGATTTAAAGAAGCCACATTATCCAGACAGGTAGAAGGGACGGAGTCACAAAGACAGGCAGAGAAACACACAGATGTGTTGGGGCGCTGAGAGGTAGCAGTGGTGGAACAGATGATCCCACATTCATGAACAGTGGATAAAAATTGGGAGGGGTACCTTAAGTGTGGGCAATCCCAGCCCCAGGCCAAACCGCACATCCCAGGGTTCCAGTGCTGGAAAGATAAATCCCCATAACTTTTGGCTATAAAAACCAGTGGGGGTTGGGGCAGCAAAAGAAATTGCCAGATTTTAAGGAGACTCAGCTTACAGGGCCTGCATAGATTTAGAATGTACACAAACCCCACGACTCTGGGATTCACCACCAGGATAACAGCTGTTGGCACCAGTCACATATAGGAAGTGGGTGAAGTGACTGGAAATGGGATGAGGACAGGACTAACATCCAGAAGCCAGGCAGCAGCATTGTCCCCTCTCCAAGCCCTGCCCCCCCCCCATATAGAGCCACAATGGGGCGAAGTGCATTGCCCTGCCCTGGCAATTACCTGAGACTCTACTCCACACAATTTACAGGTACTTTTTCTACATTAGTTCACGCTACTAAGACAGGGAGTCAAAGAAGCTCTAGCTAATACACAGAAACAAACATAGGGAGGCTGCTAAATTAAGGTGACAAAGTAATATGGCCCAAATGAAAGAACAGAACAAAACCCCAGAAGAAGAACTAAGCGAAATGGAGATAGCCAGCCTATCAGATGCAGAGTTCAAAACACTGGTGATAAGGATGCTCAGAGAACACATTGAGTATGGCAACAACATAAAGGAAGAAATGAAGGTTACACTAAGTGAAATAAAGAAAAATTTACAGGGAAACATCAGTGGAGGGGAGGAAGCTGAGAATCAAATCAATGATTTGGAACATAAGGAAGAAATAAACATTCAACCAGAACAGCATGAAGAAAAAAGAATTTGAAAAAACAAGGATATTATAAGGACCCTCTGGGATATCTTCAAATGTACCAACAAAGAGCAAGAAATTATATACCTATTTGAAAAAATAATGAAAGAAAACTTCCCTAATTTGGTGAAGGAAATAGACCTTTGAGTCCAGAAAGCACAGAGTCCCAAAAAAGTTGTGCCTAAAGAGGACCACACCAAGACACATCATAATTAAAATGCCAGAGGTTTGCCCTGGCTGGTGTGGTTCAGTGAACTGAGTGCTGGCCCATGAACCAAAAGGTTGTAGGTTCAGTTCCCAGTCAGGGCACATGCCTGGGTTGCGGGCCAGCTCCCCAGTATGGGGCTTGCAAGGGACAACCATACATTAACGTTTCTCTCCTTCTCTTTCTCTCTCTGTTGCATAAGACTATCAGCTGATTTCTCAGAAGAAACTTTACAGACAAGAAGTATTCAAAATGATGAAAAGCAAGGACCTACAACTTATATTACTCCATCCAGAAAAACTATAATTTAGAATGGAAGTAAAGATAAACTGCTTCCCAGACAAGGTAAAGTTAAAGGAGTTCATCATCACCAAGCCATTATTACATGAAATGTTAAAGGGACTTATTTAAGAAAAAGAAGAAAATCAAAATTATGAATATTAAAATGACACCAAATTCACAACTATCAACAAGTGAATTTTAAAAAACCAAACTACTCAAACAACCACAACAGGAAGAGAATCATAGGTATGGAGATCATTTGGAGGGTTATCAGCTGAGAGGGAGAAGGGGAAGAATGGGGGAAAAGGTGCAGAGATTAAGAAGCATAATTAG